CTTTACTCTCGCGTGTCACGTGACCGTGTAATCGCAGCCTCTGCGATTGAAAAATCACGTTATTTCATACCGCGATATTATCGCAAATGCAATTAATCATTCAGCCCTAGTTTGAGCGATCGGTTTTATATTTGTCTCGAATGCGTTTCGGTGGGCATTTACACCTGGTCTTTTCACGATCGGATAGCTATCCGATCAGAAAAAAACGCATGAAGTGACCAGGTGTAAACAGGCCCATGTGTGTGAGAGAAGGGGTCGTCGGAGAGAAGAGAGCGAGAACGTGCGGCTGACGTTATTGCCTGTGCCGCTGGTAACAAAACGGATCGGCTCGGAATCGGAAAGAAGTTAGACTGATCAGCCGATCACCGATCCTGGCCGATCATGAGGAAAATCGGCCGATTCCGATGCCTGGCCGATCGATCGGTGCATCTCTATATCTTATACAGTTTTATGAGTAATTCTTGTGCAGTCGTATGAGTATATGAGTAATTTTATTTTAACGATAAGGAAATATATCATGACAATTATTTTTTGCTAAAAATTACATTTTGATGTAAGAATTTTTACGGCAATCACATTATCACTGTATAAATAGTATATGCCTATACAAAAAAATCTACTTGTGGAAATTTCATGAAGGCAATAATATAGAATTAAGCTACATTCGGAATATTGCATTGATTTGAATGTATTTCATATTACAACACTTTGTAAGAACATAAAGATGTTTTAATAATGTCTCTAGTTTAAATTTAAAAAACAAAACCAAGTTAGAGTTGGCAAGTTTCTTTGAATGTTTCAGCTAACTCTGAACTCTCTGACTGAACTGACTGACAGATCTATAAATGTTGACGTACCATATGTGAAAACATACTAAAACACTTTCCACTTTCACAGCATTGCCATTCTCTCTTCCCTGAACTCTTTTAAATAATCATATCAGTAGTTTGCAATTTAAGTAGTCTATTGCAGACTTAACCAAAACATTATTATTTTGTGTCATTATACGAGAACTTGCATCCATGTGAATTTTGATTACAGCAGGGACCGTCCCAATGAAGCAACCGGGGTTCAACTGCCTTGCCGAGGAGAGCACAATGGTGGTAAGCAGAGAAGGATGGTACCAGCTAGCATACATGTTGCAAGTGTGGCAAACAACGGCGTCTGGTTATGCAACTACATCTAGTCTATACGAAGGAGAGGTCACCACATTAGAAGGTACGTCATCAGACAGGGGACTTCTGAATTTACTCAAACATGAAAGGGGCACATAGGTGTATGAGTGTTTACTGTAAGTAACCTCTAAACAACTGCTGGTAAACTATTTACACAGATGAGGAAATGAAACCTCAGCAAAACATTGCAAATGAGTTAAGGGGCTGTGCAGAAAGAGTAACTAAATGAATCAAGGTTTTCATGACAATGCAATTCAGGACACAATCAGACACAATGCTGGGTGCACTGTCAAGTCATTATATTGCTCATGAAATGTCTACTCAAACTCTAATTGGCCAAACGTTACTAATGAAACATAACATCAACTTGACATTCTGTTCCCTTAAAAATTAATCTTAAAGACAAGTTCCTTTAACTTGCTTAATAAATTTACAGCACAGATGGTTAAGAATAAGGGCCACAACAGTTTTGCGAGTTTTGGGATGATCCAGGAAATAAAGATGATGCCTGATCAGCATTTACCATGGAGCAAAGAACCTAATCTAGGGTTGCTCTAGGTGAACTGTTTATGAATGGAACATTCATATTCACAGAATTATAAATTGCTTATAAATGGAAAGTTGTCCAAAAAGGAAGTGAAATACAGAAATGGTCAAAAAAAGGGCATTTTCATCTCTACAACTGAAGACAGCAAACGATGATGAAGCTGATGACTCACCACTCCATTACAATAAGAAGGCACTTCCTGTTTTGGTAGAGATTCTCATAGACGTCAATAATCCTGACGATATGGGTACATGAGGATGCCCGCCAGTGCAGCTCCACCTCTCGTCTAGCTTTGGGACAGTCATGAAGCATCTTAAAGAGAGGATGAAAAGGAGACCAAGTTATTTAGCTGTGACAGCGATTATTTTCTCATCATTCATTAACTGAAGTTTGTGACAAATGTTTATTATTAGTAAGAAAGCACAAAACAATATAGATATGTAACAATTTATAATGCTTGCCATTTTTTTTATTTATATTTATTATAATATATATTATTGAACTGAATTGAATGTCTTTATTGTCATTGTACAAGTACAACAAAATTGAAATGCAATCCTTTGGGTGCATATATATATATATATATATATATATATATATATATACATATATACATATATATA